GAGCTTGCCTTTTAAAATGACCCCTTTCACTGAGTTATAAAATTTAAAAGAAAAAAAACAAATTTTTCTTAAAATATGGTAGTCAAACTACAACTTAATATCTTTAAAACGGTTAGGTTTACGCAAAAATTGTAATAGATCTTTTTTGAAGAGCATTTAATTTTCTACAGAGTTCAAAAAACGAAATAAAAATCAAGTAGTTGAAATTTCCATATGAATTTTTATATCTGATAATAAGAAAAATTAGAAAACCGTTAGGCGGAGGACTTTCCCGTTACAATGAAGAGCTCATAATTGGAGAGATTTTCTTAGAGGTGTCTATCAAGCAATTTTGTAGAGTAACATACCAAACGAAAAAAAACATTCGATTTTTGCTTGACCCAGCCTAATGTATGTACATGGCTTCCAGCTTGCAGCCTAATATTCACATCCAAATACATAACTAATAATTGTGAAAAATACATCGGCTTAATGACTTCCTGCGCATATAAATAGAGTCATTAAAGTTCTTTGCATAGCTCTAACTAAACACCTAACTTGGTAGTTTAATAAAAAGTTTGTTAAGAAAGAGGAAGAGAGAATTAGTTGGGATTTCTTCCTAAATCAGCTGCTATTTTAAATTTTTAATTTGAGCTTAATTATTAGATGAGTTTATTTTTTTATTATTAACTAAAGTAACTTTTATGGTTTCCTTCGAGAAATTTGACAACTCGCAGTAATCACTTATAGTTGAGGCAAAATGTTTGTTGATACTTCTTGTAGAGGGTTACGAAATAATTTCCTATTTTACGTAGGTTTCACCAACGTAGTATTATATAATGTTGTACTTAAGGCATCACAATCTACAAATAGACCAAGATCTTCCTAAGAGCACTGCGAGCTAATGATCACCCAATAGAAACACTTTTTGTTCATTATAATAAAAAAAGGTTGCTTTGATGTTATTACAACAACAGTAAAATTAGAAGCCCAGTTAGACATCTAGCAGCTATGTAACGCCATACATATTATTTATAAAACGATACACGAAACCTCTCTACTCAAAACATGCAAAGGGCAATGCTGTTGTCTTCTGCAATAGAAGCGCCGCAATGCTAGCTGTTTACTGCGATTTCAAGGAGCGTAACTTAATGCACATTGATGCTCAAACGAACTGACCCGCCACCCCATTCATTGCCTAATGTGTTAGCGAGGTTATAAACTCTAAATGTCCAATAAATTTTAACTCGACTCGCAACTAAAAAATTCAGATACCAAGCCGTTCTTCACGTACCCATATCAGCGAATACTTGACCAAATTGAATTTCGCAAATCACCAGTATTTTATGTTTATATTTTATACATTTATTTCGCACTGCGCCGCCCTCTCTCGCTCGTTCACGCTGTCTGCTAACGTTTAGTCTATTTTATTTGTTAGTTAAGTCCCCGCCATGAAAGGAGAAGAGCCATTAAACTATGAAAAGTTCCAACTGGCTTTTGTTAAAAGTCAACCAAATGCCAAATACAGGCTGCGCTCTGCCATTCCAAGGCCACCACATACTCATACAGACCCGAATACCCAACGCCACCTACTTGATTGCGGTAGTCGGGGCCATCCCGAGTGCTATTGTTACGACTCTCGCTATTGCTTAACTATAATTTTCTTGTTATTCCTCCAAATGTTGTGGCTGCAGCTGCTGTCAACGTATTTGCGTCGGACTCGCAAGCCAAGCAGAATGGTCGTTTGTCGAACCCCCGTTGCCTGCTGATGCCGCTGTGGCTGGCGCTGGCTGAAATGATCAACTGGGGAATCGTAAAAGTAATGAAAAATTGTTGTGGTCGAGTGATGCCATTCAAAATGGCAACAAATTTTAGCCATTTCCTCGTTTTTTACACCAGCGATTTTTATTTGTTGTTCTTCTCATCGTCGTTCATTGTTGGTGTATTAGACAAGCGGGTCGGGAGCAGGCATCCCGCTGCTCCTGCTGCTGTTCGTCGGCTCGGTTCGCTGCCTATCAAAAGTTTATTAAGTTTCTAAATTGCGCAGGCAATGGAAATATTATGGCATATTACATGGTCGTATAGATTTTTGATAAAGTGATGATAAGCCGCATTGTTCGCGCACTGTCGTGTGCAATCCATTTTATATAAATTTTTTTTTCATTTATTTATAACTTTTATTTGATCGCTTTTATGCGACTTTAATTTATTCAAATGACGTGTCATCGGTTCAAAATTGTGGCAATTGAACGCAAATTTATCGCTGAATTGCCACCACAAAAATGTGGTGATGGCCAAACGCGCGCAAATTTCATTTGTATGTGTTTTAACGGTGTCTGGCTGCAGCAAATAATTTCATAGTTAATATTCATATATATATATTTTTAACAAAAATGGGCTTAATAGCGGTGTTAAATGGTTAATTTAACATTATTTTCAAACCGCAGATATGTGCTGGAAACTTGTGATTCGAATAAATGTAGTGTGTATACATCTCTATTGTTGCAAGTTGGCAGCTTATCTCACAATAAATAACGAATATTACTCCCAAGATATCGGTTTATATTTGTATATGGTTTTAAAGATGAAACCACTTTCTTAAATATTTGTGAATACATTTATAGTTACGCAGTGTTTTTGAGACTATTGTTAAAAATATAGTCAAAGATTTTTGTAATCGATTTGGGTTTAACTTTCAATATGACAGCGCTCTACAACAGATGTTACACAGTTTTAATTCGCCACATAATTTCGTCATAATTTCGCACCACTCGCTTAATTTTCCACGACTAAAGAAGTTTCACTGACAACGTCTGGAATTTTCATTACAAATTTCAACATTTTCTACAATGACATCATTAAGAACTTTTTGGGAAGTAAACTATATTAATATTGTTTTCATTGGCTTCATAATTCATCTGAGCCAGAATAACTATTAAGTCTCAAAATTCCTCCAATTTCGTGAATCCGTCCGATTTCTGACTAGATCTTAACAAAGTATATCAAAATTAGGAAAAAAAATTTCTATTGATTTCTGAAGTTTCGATCAGAAGCTTTCAAAGCAACCCTCGTGATATTATTGTACAACCCTGAAACATATGTGAAATTCTCCTGTTAAATCGATTATACGCCTGTCTGGCTATTTATTCCACGAATTTAATCAGAAAGCTTGATTTAATTATTCTGCAAGCACACGCTGTTTAGTTAATTTCGATTTGCGTAGTAAAAGCCATTTTGTTGATTTGTTGTTTAAATGTGGTTGTTGCATGGAAAGCGTCAAATTTAAATACGTATTGAAGGCGATTTGACAACGCTGGTGTGAAATTTCACTGTTCCAAATTTAATTATTCGTGCCTGCATATTTTGAAAAACCGCGCTTCAAAATGTATATGTATTTATACGAATATATGGGGTATTAGACCAATTGAACATTAGAGCAGATCGACTACCACTGTCGGAAAACCAAACAAAAGCATTACTTTTGTCACTCAGAAAACAGAATTTAACCATAATATTGGGTAGGAAAGGACCTGTATACTGATGATAAGTGAAGAAAACCTCATCCTTTAACGGACAACTGTATTGCAGACAAAATAAATTCGCTAAAGACTCTAAACATTGCAAATAGCGATTCCAAAAATTTGTTTTGTTTATATAGCCTAGATCGACCCACATCAATATATAGATTGTACAACAGCTCTACACCGCTAAACACTCAGCTTTTGCTATCGAGTTTGTCAGGTGATGAAAAAGCGCTTATTTTTAGCATATTGTGTCGCTCAAATTGAATTTCAACGCATCTCCATAGGCGTCACTTCAGTTTCATCATGCCGTACATATTCATACATGTGTGTGCGTTTCGATGGGTTGTGTCACTTTTCATTTACTGCGCATAGATTTGAGGGTTCATCAATGACAACTGCAGCCTAAGAGCTCCCGACATCAACAAAAACACCAGTTTTTCATTGACGCCAAGTTTTGATTAACTTTTTCAACCATATTGCCGTTATTTTCATGTAAAATATTTAGCACTTGCTTAACTTTTTTATATACTCTCGCTTTTTGGACGCCAAATTCAATTACAAACCACATAGTTGGGAAATTGAACTCGCGTATGCGTTTAATTTTAAAGCTGGCTCAAGCCACAAGTTGTTTTGTAATTAATTGATGGATTACACACTAATAATAGTTGAACCCAATTGTTGTTTATAGTTGTGATGGGCGTGGCTGTGATTTGTTTGCTGAAATTTTGTTTCGCCCATTTTTGGTCAGATAGGAATTCGGAAAGATTAAATCGCCGTACTTTTGGAGAAAGTGTTAAGCGATGTTCGAAAGCAACACTTCGTTTAGTTTAAAGTTTTAAAAACGAAAATTTAAACTGTTACATCACTACATATAAACTACGGAAATCTAGTCAACGAATTTTATTTTTTTGAAATTTATATGCGACTAGCGTGAGTTATTCTTTATATTATGCCTGATGTTATTGGCACTGACTTTATCTAATCAAATAATGACTGAGATGAACTCGTATGTCTCGTAACTTTATGAAATTTGACATGCACAAATTTGTCAAAGCACAAATTTTATTTATGTCAGATATGCTATAGTGGCATATATACAGCTTCTATACAAACTGATCGATTTTTGATGAGTAAACGCAACCGAAACTAACGTTTTTTCTTGTCTGAAAACGATTCGACAATAAACAAAATATAACGAGGTCTAGAGCAGAAAAAATGCATATTGTTGTTTCATAGACAAGCCCTCATTAAAGTAAATATTAAAAAGGCTTAACCCAATAATAATTAGAAACGCTATTAAAATAAATTTCATATTGACTTTCAAATTGCGAATCAATGTTATTGCAACCGACCTTCCTGCATTTCCAATTACCAATTAAAGACATGTAGTTATATAACAAACACTCGAATAACATATAGACAACCAACATGCATAAAAAGATTAAAAATGCCAAATGCAAACTAGGAGTTTAACTAATCCAATACGACTTATTGCAGGTCCACCTGGAGTACCCGGCGACCGCGGCGAATTGGGCCCCGCTGGACCACCCGGACCGCCCGGCGAGAAGGGACCGCGCGGCAAACGCGGAAAACGGGTAAGTGCAAAATTGTGTAATTAAATTTTTTCATCGCTTTTGCTTTGCTTTCATTCGCTAACTTTACTTACTGTTATCTCGCCAGCTGTAAGTTGGCTTGTTGCGCCGCCATGGCGTATAAGCAACAAATCTTGTATTATCTGTACATATGCAAGCGCAGTGTAGGCACATAGATATATGTATATATTAAAGTTTGCTGGAAATTATGTAAATAGAATGTAAATATTTGTGAAGTAGAGAATGTACAATATTTATGATGCTTAAAGTAGCTTAGTGGATGAAATACAACTGGTGGATGTTCTATTCGCGAATATTATAGACCCTGCATATCTTCTGGTTATATATGTTATGTACATGACTGGGTGTGTGCGTAAGAAGCGTGCAGACTATTTGCATATGCATGAAATCCAACCGAGGGGAGGAGAAACACGCTTTTGTTTGTAGAAATCTGATATTATGTATGGTAAATGCAAATGTATGTGCATGTGTGCGTGTGCGAAGACAAAGTACGAATATTTGTGTGTGTATAGCTATGTGTATTTGTGTGCAGGTTTTTGTCAGTGCTATGTACGCACGTTTGCACCGTTGCGGCACTTTATATTGTCGCACAGAGGATTTCAAATATTCCAATGCATGCGTCAAAGCCTCCACCCCTTTGTAAACCTAACTCACCCGCTCTTACATCAGCATCTCATACTTCTTTGCACGTCGTGTACCTGCTAAGACTAACACCTTTGGCACATTGTTAAGCCAGTAAGACCACACCAACCCCTCCATCAACTTGTCTCTTTTGCATATTTCACCTTCCCTTCTCACCACAGATTCTCAGATTTATTGTTGATTTTCGTACTACATTTAGGTCTCAGCCCAATTAAGCTACACCTTCTCACCTGTATATACATATATGTAAATACACACATTCTGTCACTTCTGCGCCTTCTCATTTCACTAAGCCGTCACACACTTCTATTGAACTTCCCTAATCTGCTCTAGTTTCTCCAGTTTAATCTGTTTTCCCATATTGCGCGCGAAAGTATACATCAGTGAAATTATGTATGCTTGTTAACGTAATTGTCTTACATGTTGTCGCCTCATTATTGTACTCATATTTTTCGATTTTTTTTTTTTTTTGCTTTTGTTTCTGTTCTGTGCGCAAGTTACCAATTGGGCGTCGCCTCAGGCACATCCAAGGTTGGTAGCGGTAAAATAACCCACTATTTATTCCAGCTCGTTTATCAATGGTTGAAGGACGACTGCTGCCATATGTAGTTCAGCACGTGGCTGATGTATGTAGGTTATCGATAATACTCGTAGAAGACTATAGTGTCGTGATAATTTACTCACGAATCGTTTAAGAAAAGAAACTAGATGCAGTTTTTTAGAATTTAATGTATAATACTTTAATAATCGGTAAGGTGAGAAAGATTGTTCTACTTAAAATTATCCCAAATCCAGAAACAAAAAAACATATATTATTGTTATAGATCAATACAGATAAAGATCGAGACGCTAGTCAAAAAATAGATAATTGTCAAAATGGCGGATAGCGAAAAATAAATTTTTTTGTGTATTAAAAAATAATAGCAAAAGTCTTATTCGAAAGTCGTGTAAAAATTCCAAATCGTTCAGTTCAGCCGCTCTGCTTATGTATATGGTACTCGTATTTAAACATAAGATAGTGAGCTCACGTTCATTTTTCTCAGTAAGTATCATTGGTAACAACAATCAACTCACCTGTAACTGTGCTATTATAATAGTAAATCATTTCACCTCAGTATGTGCGTTTGAGGCATACATTTAAGCATTTATTACATGGCCTTGGAGAAAATCGGTACAAGCGGTGAAAGATATGTGCGACAAAAATAATGAAACAGAGTGATTACAAGAAATAAATTGGCAACGAGCCCATTGAGAGTTCCAGCAGGTATGTAGCATGTCACCAAGCAGCCAAACGCCAACTACCACTACCGCTCCCACACAGTACATACTTGTAGTACATAGTGTAAGCCGCCTACATATCCTAGATAACGCAGCACCGTGCTTCACCTGCCGCACAGCGCGTGTATAATTCCCACGGGCACTATATAGCTACATAATACTAACGGATTCATTTGCGATTGATGAGACCAAATTGGCGAAGTTTGCGCCAGCGAGTCAATGCCAACTAATGGCGTTGACAAGAAACTTGTCTTCGACGCTCGACGTGACGCTGCTGACAATGATGATGACGGCGATGCTACTGCTGATGATGACGAAGAGGTTGAATATGATGCCCTTGATGGCGCGAAGATTGCCTTGTGCATGAGAATTTCTACTTTTCTATAAATATACCGTTAACCAATGATTTTCGGAATGAGTTGTTCGGCCGAGTGTCAAACTTTTCTTGTTTGTGAAGGCCGCATTGCTATCGCACCATCAAGCAATTCTCGCTGTAATTCACTGTTATTTAGGCTATGTGCAAAAAGAAAAATATTGTTGCCTTCCTTCTTTATTCTGTTGAAAGCAAAGTTGTCGAAAAGTTGCATCATTCCGAGCACTTTCGACGCTTATCAAGGCAGCGTTCTCATATTTTCAAGTTCATTTTTGTTGTATTATATTTATATTTATTTCCATTTTGTTGTTGTTTTTTAATGTGCGCTTAAGCGAAGCCTTATCTATGCACGTGTTGGTTTGAGTGTGTTCTGTTTGGTGGTTTCTAACCTCTACTTTTTCGAGTGTGTATGTGTGTGCGTGCGCGTTCGTATCGCTGATCTGACAACGCAAAGCTACTTAACATTTTTATTGGCACTTGAGTTTTGCACAACAATGATATCTGTCAACATTTCAAATGCTAAAACAAAAGTCCTAAAAGGAGTAAAACGAAAAACATGAAATCAACTCGAATGGGTATCGGAATAAATGCATACATAGATAAGTGTGTAAGCATGTTGTTAACAGCAGTTTTAGCCTCGAAAGCTTCAAAAGCAGCAGCCATGACAGCATCAGCATATCTTGTGTGAAATATCAGCAACAAAATGACAGCAATTGATGTTGCAACAACAAGCGTTCAACTGTATTGTCGGTTGTTCGCATAAAGTGAGTCGAATGTTTTGCATTTTTGTGGAAAATATTTCTAAAGCTTCTAACAGCCGGTTTTAGGAAAATAATGGTGAAAAATATTGGTATTTTATTTAATAATAAGTGGCTATTGAAAAAAAAACAAATAAATTTTAATTGGACAAGTATTTCACAACATAAAGCTTCATATACAGGGATGATGCCACAAGTTTTCGAAAAGGCAATTGACAAGATTTGCAGCATTTAAAGCCAGTGTTTTTTCGGGCGAACTATGTTCATTCGTCCATGTTGATTTTCTAAAAAAAAATTAGAACGAAACAATGTTTTATGGTCTGTTTGAACCTCATTGATGCCTAAAAATTTAAATAGATAGACAAACATAAAGAAAATAAGTAAAGGTCATCTTAAGGAGATATCTTCAGTTGCAAGTCAGAAAGAACGCGTTTTTTATGAATTTTTGTGAAGAGGCATTTTATTTAATAAGCATTTAGAAAAAATAATGAACATTTACAAAATTTAATATACTTTAAAAATCGCTAAATCATTTTGAAAATTTTTAAATCTCTTGATACAGTAGCCAGTGAAGAAGATGTTTCTGCCTAAAACTATCTTAAATCCCGAAACCATTAACATTTATTATTTCCATAGATGCTATAGAAGAATACCGGTAATGATCGAGGGGTTAGTCAAAAATATGATTTTTGACAAAATGGCGGCTTCCTAAAAAACATCGGTATTTTGATTTAAATTTACATTTCAGAGTGGCTTAAAAAATCGAAGTAAATATCAAAACTCTTATTCCTTCTATCGTTATTTAACATATATATTTAAGAAGGTCGTGTAAACTTTCAATTCGACCCGCAATTCGACGAAATTTTACGCACCGATTCTGAAAACAACGATTCGAAAAAAAACACGCGTTTAAAGTTTTGGGTGCCGATCACACTAACCTAAAATTTTTTTTCCAATACGTTCATATCTCCAAAACTATTTGTCAAATCAACCTCAAATTTTGGGAGACTATTTTCAAATATATGTACATATATTCGTTTTATAGCATATAGAAAAGCAAAACTCGTTTTATTTTGAAATTCACTAGATAAGATTAAAGATAGCGTTAAAACTGTTTTGATTACGAATGAGAAAGAATGGCGAATAATGCGAAATTAGTTGTGATCTCCCAACTATTGTGATTTTGGTTCAAGTTGCAGAATTTGTCGAATAGTATTTAAAAAATACTGTCGAGTTGAGAGTACTTGGCCGATTATGTCCCATAACAAGCTGGCGGTGATAATCTTAGAACGAACTGCTGCCATGAAAAAGTATGCAAAAAATTATAATAGTACAGTTCTCTAATTGATCTGAAAGAATTATATAGTATTCTCTTCAAACGTTTTACCCTACTTAACTACAAGAGGATAATTTAATTTTTAAGCCTTTATTTTTCATTATAAAATGTCATTCCAACAATCTTAAGATTAGGCGGTGCCATTATTTAACTCAACATTCCGCTTTTTATGACGCTCATGTGGAGTAAATCAATATGCAATACTCTTTTAAATAATTTAAATCATCAGCTTGATGATTTCCTCTTAGTAGAGCCATTGCGCTAGAACTAAAAATGCAGCGGGCCAACGTTGACGTCAACTACTAGCTGTAAAACATGTTCACTTTCAGAAAATAAATATGCTGCAGCTGTTGCTGGCTTCTTGGCCATTGTACATTATATGTTAGTCGTGGCATGAATTTCAAATTATTTCATCTTTCACGCTCGTTCTTTCCTTTTATTGCAGCAATTTGCATTTTTACTGCACACACCCACACACACTCCCGCAGTCAGAAGTCTGTTTACATGAGTGTACATTGTTGTTGTATTTATTACATATTTGCGCTATTTATTGCGTATTTATTGTGTTGCTCACACCAAGCAGGCGAAGAAAATG